CAAAGTCAATCAGTATTTGCATAGAAGTGGCCTGGCTGCATGCTTTTGAATTGTTATTTTAGATGGTGAGCAAATGGCGAGGGAATAATAATAATAATAATAATAATAATAATAATAATAATAATAATAATAGAAGCCAGGCACCGAACTGGTGACTTAGAATCATAGAATCCTAGAATCCTAGAGTGGGAAGAGACGTCATAGGCCTTCATCCAGTCCAACGCCCTTCTGCCAAGAAGCAGGAATATCGCATTCAAAGCACCCCTGACAGATGGCCATCCAGCCTCTGTTTAAAAGCTTCCAAAGAAGGAGCCTCCACCACACTCAGGGCAGAGAGTTCCACTGCTGAACGGTTCTCACCGTCAGGAAGTTCTTCCTCATGTTCAGATGGAATCTCCTCTCTTGTAGTTTGAAGCCATGGTTCCACTGCGTCCTAGTCTCTCTCCAGGGAAGCAGAAAGGAAGCCTGCTCTCTCCTCCTCCTCCCTGTGGCTTCCTCTCACATATTTATACATGGCCCTCATCATATCTCCTCTCAGCCTTCTCTTCTTCAGGCTAGACAATCCCAGCTCCTTAAGCCGCTCCTCATAGGGCTTGTTCTCCAGACTCTTGATCATTTTAGTCGCCCTCTTCCTCTGGACACATTCCAGCTTGTCAACATCCCTCTTGAATTGTGGTGCCCAGAATTGGACACAATATTCCAGGTAACGTGGTCTAACCAGAGCGGAATAGAGCATGGGGAGCATGACTTCCCTAGATCTGGACACTAGGCTCCTATTGATGCAGGCCAACATCCCATTGACTTTTTTTGCCGCCACATCACATTCCTGGCTGATGTTTAGCTTGTTGTCCACGAGGAACCCAAGATCTTTTTCACACGTACTGCTCTCAAGCCAGGCCTCATCGTCCCCCATTCTGTCTCTTTGCATTTCGTTTTTCCTGCCAAAGTGGAGTCTCTTGCATTTGTCCCCGTTGACCTTCATTGTGTTAGTTGTGGCCCATCATCTCTCTAATCTGTCAAGATGGTTTTGAATCCTGCTCCTGTCCTCTGGAGTCTTGGCTCTCCCTCCCAATTTGGTGTCATCTGCAAACTTGATGATCCTACCTTCTAACTCTTCATCTAAGTAATGAATAAAGACTTACCCAAGGGGAATGAATTCTGCACCTGCTCACAGTGCTTTCCAGTGTAGGGCGTGAAGCACTGGCAGTGACCCCCGACAGGGATCCCATTCTTGCACCAAGGCGGGGCTGTGGTGGAGGAAGCTTCCGGAAGCAGAAAGCAGAAATAATAAATATTATTATTTATTTCCTGCATTTATAACCCACCTATCTCACCCCTGAAGGGGGACTCAGGGCAGCCTCACAGCAAGCACGATCAGTGCTTTCACATAAAATTCAACAAATACAATTAAAACATAAAACAGTTAATTAAAAAGCAATAAATTAAACATGTCAAGTAAAATCCAAAGCCGGCTCCGGGTTAATACATTATCACCAGTTGCTTAAATCTATTATAATAATAATAGTAATAATAGTAGTAATAATAATAATAATAATACAACTTTGCATACTCCTCTACCTCTTCAAGGGGACTCCACATAAGCAAAGCAACACAGAAACCTACAGAGTAGCCATTTAAAACACTAACATAAAACAATTGTCACAGTTGTATACATTTAAAAATCCAATTCCAACACTATTCTATCATGCAATAATTTATTTATTTATTTATTTAAAAGTTTTGTATACCGACCTTCTCACCTCTCTTGAGGGACTCAGACCGGTTTCCAACCATAATATCACATACAGTCAATAAAACATCATAATTCATATTACAATAAAACATTAAAACAGCATAATAAGCGGACCTCCAGTTGTTTTGGCCTCCAACTCCCAGAAGCCCTTGCCAGCTTGTCCATTGGCGAGGAATTCTGGGAGTTGTAGCCCCGAACAGCAGGAGGGCCGCAGTTTGAGGATGCCTGTCCCAACCAATGGCCAGAGTGGGGCCTGGGGCGACTCATTTCGTGGGCCTACTGAGTGACTATAAAAAAGGTCTGGGCCGGGGCTCGTACCACGAGATGACAAAGGACAAAGGGGAGTGGGAAAAGTGCAAAGCTGGGTCCTCACTGATGGCCAGGGTAGGGCCTGGGGCCTGAGACTAATCGTTCCAAAGGTTTTATGGAACTACCAATTCTTCAAGTCCCTGTGCAAAGAGGGGAATGATGGGGCCTGTCTGGGGCATGGAGAGACTGCTCACCAGTAGGCTTTGTGGAAGTGCTCTGAAGAACGGTCGTGGAAGAAGATGAGGTGGATCCTGCTTTAGTTCCATGATAAGTGGATGGTGACGGTGAAGGGCTGGTTTGGATGCCTGTGGGCATGGCTCTCGGCGTGGTGGAGCTATTGCTGGAAGAAGAGCCGGAAGGCAGATGTGGCATCTCGGTTGACACGGAAAACGAGGTTATCCCTCCTGTGGTACTCCTGGAAGGAATTGAAGGAACCACTACATGATGGGAGGTGGAAAATGGTTCGCTGCTGGTCTCTGTGGTTCTCGGTTCCTGAGAGATGGTATTGGAATGAGTGGATGTAAACCCTACATGGTTTGAGGTGACAATGTTCTCTGTGGTTGCAGATTCCTCAGAGACAGTAATAGAAGGAGTAGATGTAATTGGTACATGACTGGAGGCGGAGAAAGTCTTTGTGGTTGTGGGTTCCTTAGGTATTGTACTGGAAGGAGTTGATTTCAGCAGTTCATGAGTGCTGGCAGAGATGGTCCCTGTGGTTGTAGGTTCCTTAGCTGTTGTACTTGAATGAGTGGATTCCAGCAGTGGATGAGTGGAAGCAGAGGGAGTCTCTGTGGTTGTAGGTTCCTCGGAGATGGTAGGGGAAGGAGTAGATCTAAACGGTACATGACTGGAAATGGGGATGGTCACTGTGGTTGAAGGTTGTTCAGAGGTGGCACTGGAATGAGTGGACATAAAAGGTACATGACTGGAGGCGGAGAGGGCCTCTGTGGTTGTAGGCTCCTGAGAGATGGTAGTGGAAGGAGTGGATCTAAAGGATACATGACTGGAATTGGAGATGGCTTCTGTGGTTGTAGGTTCCTCAGAGGTGGCACTGGAATGAGTGGATCTAAAGGATACATGACTGGAGATGGAGATGGCTTCTGTGGTTGTAGGTTCCTCAGAGGTGGCACTGGAATGAGTGGACATAAAAGGTACATGACTGGAGGCGGAGATGGCTTCTGTGGTTGTAGGTTCCTCAGAGATGGTAGTGGAAGGAGTGGATTTAAAGGATACATGACTGGAGGGGGAGATGGCTTCTGTGGTTGTAGGTTCCTCAGAGGTGGCACTGGAATGAGTGGACATAAAAGGTACATGACTGGAGGCGGAGAGAGTCTCTGTGGTTGTAGGTTTCTCAGAGATGGTAGTGGAAGGAGTGGATCTAAAGGATACATGACTGGAGGTGGAGATGGCTTCTGTGGTTGTAGGTTCCTCAGAGGTGGCACTGGAATGAGTGGACATAAAAGGTACATGACTGGAGGCGGAGAGGGTCTCTGCGGTTGTACGTTCCTCAGAGATGGTAGTGGAAGGAGTGGATCTAAAGGATACATGACTGGAGGCGGAGAAGGTCTCTGTGGTTGTAGGTTCCTCAGAGGTGGCACTGGAATGAGTGGACATAAAAGGTACATGACTGGAGGCGGAGATGGCTTCTGTGGTTGTAGGTTCCTCAGAGGTGGTACTGGAATGAGTGGACATAAAAGGTACATGACTGGAGGCGGAGAGAGTCTCTGTGGTTGTAGGTTCCTCAGAGATGGTAGTGGAAGGAGTGGATTTAAAGGATACATGACTGGAAGTGGAGATGGCTTCTGTGGTTGTAGGTTCCTCAGAGGTGGCACTGGAATGAGTGGACATAAAAGGTACATGACTGGAGGCGGAGATGGCTTCTGTGGTTGTAGGTTCCTCAGAGATGGTAGTGGAAGGAGTGGATCTAAAGGATACATGACTGGAATTGGAGATGGCTTCTGTGGTTGTAGGCTCCTCAGGGAAGGAGTGGATCTAAAGGATACATGACTGGAAGTGGAGATGGCTTCTGTGGTTGTAGGTTCCTCAGAGGTGGCACTGGAATGAGTGGACATAAAAGTTACATGACTAGAGGCGGAGATGGCTTCTGTGGTTGTAGGTTCCTCAGAGATGGTAGTGGAAGGAGTGGATCTAAAGGATACATGACTGGAGATGGAGATGGCTTCTGTGGTTGTAGGTTCCTCAGAGATGGTAGTGGAAGGAGTGGATCTAAAGGATACATGACTGGAGATGGAGATGGCTTCTGTGGTTGTAGGTTCCTCAGAGATGGTAGTGGAAGGAGTGGATCTAAAGGATACATGACTGGAGGGGGAGATGGCTTCTGTGGTTGTAGGTTCCTCAGAGGTGGCACTGGAATGAGTAGTCATAAAAGGTACATGACTAGAGGCGGAGATGGCTTCTGTGGTTGTAGGTTCCTCAGAGATGGTAGTGGAAGGAGTGGATCTAAAGGATACATGACTGGAGGTGGAGATGGCTTCTGTGGTTGTAGGTTCCTCAGAGGTGGCACTGGAATGAGTGGACATAAAAGGTACATGACTGGAGGCGGAGATGGCTTCTGTGGTTGTAGGTTCCTCAGAGATGGTAGTGGAAGGAGTGGATCTAAAGGATACATGACTGGAAGTGGAGATGGCTTCTGTGGTTGTCGGTTCCTCCGAGATGGCACTGGAATGACTAGACATAAAAGGTGCATGACTGGAGGCGGAGAGTGTCTCTGTGGTTGTAGGTTCCTCAGAGATGGTAGTGGAAGGAGTGGATTTAAAGGATACATGACTGGAGGTGGAGATGGCTTCTGTGGTTGTAGGTTCCTCAGAGATGGTAGTGGAAGGAGTGGATCTAAAGGATACATGACTGGAGTGGAGATGGCTTCTGTGGTTGTAGGTTCCTCAGAGATGGTAGTGGAAGGAGTGGATCTAAAGGATACATGACTGGAAGTGGAGATGGCTTCTGTGGTTGTAGGTTCCTCAGAGGTGGCACTGGAATGAGTAGACATAAAAGGTGCATGACTGGAGGCGGAGAGTGTCTCTGTGGTTGTAGGTTCCTCAGAGGTGGCACTGGAATGAGTGGACATAAAAGGTACATGACTGGAGGCGGAGAGGGTCTCTGCGGTTGTACGTTCCTCAGAGATGGTAGTGGAAGGAGTGGATCTAAAGGATACATGACTGGAGGTGGAGATGGCCTCTGTGGTTGTAGGTTCCTCAGAGGTGGCACTGGAATGAGTGGACATAAAAGGTACATGACTGGAGGCGGAGATGGCTTCTGTGGTTGTAGGTTCCTCAGAGATGGTAGTGGAAGGAGTGGATCTAAAGGATACATGACTGGAGGGGGAGATGGCTTCTGTGGTTGTAGGTTCCTCAGAGATGGTAGTGGAAGGAGTGGATCTAAAGGATACATGACTGGAGGTGGAGATGGCTTCTGTGGTTGTAGGTTCCTCAGAGATGGTAGTGGAAGGAGTGGATCTAAAGGATACATGACTGGAGGTGGAGATGGCTTCTGTGGTTGTAGGTTCCTCAGAGATGGTAGTGGAAGGAGTGGATCTAAAGGATACATGACTGGAGGTGGAGATGGCTTCTGTGGTTGTAGGTTCCTCAGAGGTGGCACTGGAATGAGTGGACATCAAAGGTACATGACTGGAGGCGGAGAAGGTCTCTGTGGTTGTAGGTTCCTCAGAGATGGTAGTGGAAGGAGTGGATCTAAAGGATACATGACTGGAGGTGGAGATGGCCTCTGTGGTTGTAGGTTCCTCAGAGGTGGCACTGGAATGAGTGGACATCAAAGGTACATGACTGGAGGCGGAGAGGGTCTCTGTGGTTGTAGGTTCCTCAGAGATGGTAGTGGAAGGAGTGGATTTAAAGGATACATGACTGGAAGTGGAGATGGCTTCTGTGGTTGTAGGTTCCTCAGAGGTGGCACTGGAATGAGTGGACATAAAAGGTACATGACTGGAGGCGGAGATGGCTTCTGTGGTTGTAGGTTCCTCAGAGATGGTAGTGGAAGGAGTGGATCTAAAGGATACATGACTGGAGGGGGAGATGGCTTCTGTGGTTGTAGGTTCCTCAGAGGTGGCACTGGAATGAGTGGACATAAAAGGTACATGACTGGAGGCGGAGAGAGTCTCTGTGGTTGTAGGTTTCTCAGAGATGGTAGTGGAAGGAGTGGATCTAAAGGATACATGACTGGAGGTGGAGATGGCTTCTGTGGTTGTAGGTTCCTCAGAGGTGGCACTGGAATGAGTGGACATCAAAGGTACATGACTGGAGGCGGAGAGGGTCTCTGTGGTTGTAGGTTCCTCAGAGATGGTAGTGGAAGGAGTGGATTTAAAGGATACATGACTGGAAGTGGAGATGGCTTCTGTGGTTGTAGGTTCCTCAGAGGTGGCACTGGAATGAGTGGACATAAAAGGTACATGACTGGAGGCGGAGATGGCTTCTGTGGTTGTAGGTTCCTCAGAGATGGTAGTGGAAGGAGTGGATCTAAAGGATACATGACTGGAATTGGAGATGGCTTCTGTGGTTGTAGGCTCTTCAGGGAAGGAGTGGATCTAAAGGATACATGACTGGAAGTGGAGATGGCTTCTGTGGTTGTAGGTTCCTCAGAGGTGGCACTGGAATGAGTGGACATAAAAGGTACATGACTGGAGGCGGAGATGGCTTCTGTGGTTGTAGGTTCCTCAGAGATGGTAGTGGAAGGAGTGGATCTAAAGGATACATGACTGGAGGGGGAGATGGCTTCTGTGGTTGTAGGTTCCTCAGAGATGGTAGTGGAAGGAGTGGATCTAAAGGATACATGACTGGAGGGGGAGATGGCTTCTGTGGTTGTAGGTTCCTCAGAGGTGGCACTGGAATGAGTGGACATAAAAGGTACATGACTGGAGGCGGAGAGGGCCTCTGTGGTTGTAGGTTCCTCAGAGATGGTACTGGAAGGAGTGGATCTAAAGGATACATGACTGGAGCGGAGAGGGTCTCTGTGGTTGTAGGTTCCTCAGAGATGGTAGTGGAAGGAGTGGATCTAAAG